GTGAGAGTAGTACGCGTACTAAAAAAATAAAAAAAAAAAAAAAAAAGAAAGGAACGATTAATATTTATATCCAAAATATAAATTGTTCTCTCGTTGCGATTGTTATTAGTCGCGGCGGCTATTGTTGTAACGTCGTTTCCGCGTTACTCGCCTATAACATAACGGCGATATCGGCGGCGGGCGTGTCGGCGTAACGGGCGAATAAATTCCCGCGCAGCATTGCGTTAATTAACACTTTACAATGGCACCAATTAAAAATCATAAACTGGATATGCGGCGAATTGGCGAGCGGGGAGCGTTCGCCCGCGCGGGCAAGAGGCGGCAGTGGTCGCGTGTCAGGGCGCCGACGCGGGTCGCGCGTCGCGGCGCCGGGCGCCGCTTCGGAGACGCTGTTCGTCGCCGCGGCCAGTGCACGTTCATCTTGAACGCGAAGCGCCTCGCGCATTCCCATTCGCAGTTTCTCTTCCACCGAGTGATTCCGTCTTGTCCCCCGGACGACACCGTGTTGCACGATGTCGGCACGACGTGCGTGACGAGGGGGGAGGGAGGGGGCGCCGGCGAAGCAGGGAAGCAGGCGAAGATCCGCGTCGCGATTACTATGCGAGCCGTCGAAGCGAAAGTTTCCGCAGATCGATCGAACGGCCCTTCCGCTCCCCGATGCCGGCGATAACTTTCATCCTTTTTCCCTTCCCTTGACATCGCTCGCCAATAAATTTCACGCCGACGCGCCTCAATTGTCCCGACCGTGTGTCAGCCTTTAATCGCGTTTAGCACGCGCCTCTGCGAGTACGTCGTCGTCGTCGTCGTCGTCGAACGCAAATTCGCGTCAGGGAACGTTTTACCTCGGGCAACCGACGGTATGCTGGTTGTACAAGCGTTCGGTCTGTAACGCAATTCCCTGGTAACAGGTGATACGTTATCTTCCTATAAGTGCAGCAGCTTGTTCGTCGCTCGTGTTTACGCGTCAGCAATTTGACGCGAGTCTGCACCATGTGCGACGAACGGAGTGAATGGATGTCATCCTAACGCGATTCATTTCTTGAGAGAGATCGAAGAAATACGACCGTGTCTAACGAGACAATGAAATGTCTTTTAACGCACCTTCAGGAATTTTCCATTACATTCCTCGTACTTGTCGCTAATTCACTTTCCGCCGTTTTTTTTCTCTCAAATGCGAAATACGTCGCACCACGTTTGATAAACAATTCTAAATTTCAATCGCTCTCGCGATCTTCTTTTCTCTTGCCGTCGACGTAATATTTGTCCGCAAACGTGACGAGAGACGTGGCGTTCTCTACGCAATTTAAACAGATAGTGTCAATATTTTCACGCTTTTGTCACAGTGATGCCCACATCGCGGCTATACACGGCAATGCGGTTGTTCAACGCGTTTCCGAATCAAGATGCATGTGCCCGTGTAATTTGAGGACACCGCAAATTTAGTCGTTGGTGCTTGACACCTTTGAATCGGATCCCACTTCGTACGCTTTTATGGTGTACAATCGCTGAATAAATTATCCTTTATTCAGGATTGTTATGTTCAGTTTTCTATTATAGTCCTTGAGCGGACTATTTTCAGTCCAAAAATTGGTTCAGATCATCTCTGTTTTCGTCCACAGTCATGTTGCTCTTAAAATAGAAATAATTCTATTTCTATATCAAGTTTTGTCACGTATAATAAGCAATATCTATCGTATTTTGTTCGAAAATATGTGACATATTTTCTACTAAATATCTCTCTCTAATTAAATTCTGTTTTGATATAGATATATCTGTTTTCGCTATAAATTTCATTTATTTCATACAAGATGCAACAAGTTTTTGTGCGAAGGAAAGAATACCTTTAAGAAATATTCGGTTTTAATATCTGATTTTTAATAATCTGGAATTTTTTAATAATATAATTTTGTTTGCGCTTTCGTGAAGCGTATATGTATATATAAATTCGGTTCGCGTAGCGCGCGTGTGTGTGTGTGTGTGTGTGTGTGTGTGTGTGTATGTGTGTGTGAATATTTTACTTTTTTCCAAATTAGTTTCCAGATAATGTAGCGCAAAACGTTCTTGACCTCGAGACGCGAGATATGCAATTTCGAATAAATTCCACACGCTGTTAAGCGATTTGCTGCAAAATTCCCAACGTATCAAATTTCTTATGTCATTACTTCTCTAATCTATAATTTATCTTCCTAGAATACTTGTTGAATTCTTGTGTCATTATCGGATAAGCAAGATAATATACTTTTTGACACATTATCTCACATTATCCTTTCTTCATTCCGTTCGATAAAATGAGTGAACGTGATATTCCAGCAAACTGCAAACGGTAAAATGTAGATCGGCGCATTTCTCTTTACGTTTTCTGGACATTACTCAAACGGTGCGGTGACTGCAGGCATCACATCTCGTGACTGTCCTCCTCTTCTCTTTCTCTTTCTCTCTCTCTCTCTCTCTCTCTCTCTCTTCTTCTTCTTCTTTAC